GATTTCTCTGGACTAACCAATGATAATCAAGGGAAGTGCACGCCATCAATATGACCACATCCTGTGTAACAAGACCCGACTCACGCCTGGCCAATCGGCGGGGCCCACAGTCCCCTCCCCTGCCCTTACTATAAAACCCACAATCCATCAGGCCTCTCTCTCGCGGCCACTGGGCTTACTGTTGTTGCATCGGTGAGTGTGGTCGGGGAGCCGAACTAGTTCGAAATGAAGGACTCTGCTTTTGCATCGGACTCGCTGGCTCCCTGATGGGCTTTTTGGGAACCTTGAAATCTGGGCACAACACTGAGAACCATCCAAGAGTAGAAACGCTAGATCTCCAGTGCCGTGGTCTGCCTGCTGACATGAGTACCTCCAGCAGAGGTCGGCAATCAGGTGTAGGTGTAGCAGTGGCAGGTTGCAATTCGTGATGTTTGGTTGGGTGCGTGCAGCTACATGCCAATCATGCCATTTAACAAAAGACAAATTTAAAAAAGAAAAAAACCCACAAGATTTATTAACATTATATCTCATACATACATGGGGAAAACTTGAGGACAAGTAACTCAAGGAGGTGGTTTAGAACTTGGTCTTAAGCACCATCTTCAGCTAAAACAAAGGAAGGAGAGTGTGGGGAGGCAAGTTATGGGAAAGTGACCAGGAAAAGTGTGGTAAACAAGGGTAAGGTTTGTTATGCAGATTTAAGTAGGTGCCTTCTTCTCTGTGATGAGTCTTCTGTGATTTCCTTCCTGGTAGAGAGGAGACAAGCTTTACAAATGGAGATTTCCTTTATAAATGTGTCTCTTACTAAAGTGTATCTTTTACTTTTTCAGAGCTCCTCCTGTCTGCTGCTTCTCAAAATAATCAGCTCAAAATAATCCTATGTCAAAAAGGCATATTTTGGGGCATATTCTGGTTTCCTACAGTCACATTTTGGGATGGCACATGCTGGTATCCGATAGCATATAACATTAGAGTACATTTTTAGTTGTTGATGTATTCATTGCCCGCCTTCCTGTCAAGTAAGGAGATACTGACTTAGTTTTGTTGAAAGCTCTACGTCCCATTTCTGGTACAGAAGAGACATAAATAATTGTTGAACAGACAAATGAATAAATGAATGAATGAGGATGAGAGGGTAATTCAGGTGATCAATAGAATTTGAGGTTGCAATGGAAAGAAATGAAGTCAGAAGGCAGCTGGCACACACTTGCTTTTTTTCATTGAAAACAACTTCTTTTTAAAAAGTGTGTTTTTTTCGGCCTTGATCCTGGCAGCGAGCGGCCTCACCCATGAGATCCCTAGCCTGGGCTCCACGCAGGCCAGGAGGAGGCTCAACGCCCGCAGGAGGGGAATTGGGCTTCAGTGAGGACAGTACTGATGAGGACCCTGGCACTAGAGCACTTGGTAACTGTAAGAACATTTACTAGCCAGTGAGAAAGTCCAGAGCCAAGTGGGGCTAGATGTGCTAGGGGACAGGAGAGCAGGAACAGAATAGAGAATGCCCCTAAAAGAAGTGGGGTGAGTAAATAGAAAACTAAATGTGCCAAGCTGGCAGTTTAGAAAAAATTAATTAGGTCAAACTACTTGTAGTTAGGGGGCAGTACAATCCCCAAAACTAATAAGGATGAGTCCAAGATTTGACTCATGTACATAAAACCAGTGGGGAATGAAGTATGGAAGCAATCAACTCAGGTAGAAACTATAGTTTAACTTTAAACCTGCTGTTTGGTTTCTATACTTATTTGCTTGCTAAAATAATAGAAAAGTTATTTTGATTTTCTGAATTATATAAATCATCCCATTCGATTAAATACCCTATTGATTATAATGTGAATATTCCATTGGTTGTGATCATACTGGTCTTAGAAAGCACATTCTTCTGTACCTGGAAAGGACAGCACAATTATCCCAAAGCCCAAGGGCTCCAGATAATGTGTCCTTGTTGACTCAGTGGTCCCAAGACCCGAGGGCTCTAGATAATGTGTTTCTGTCAACTTAGTGATCCGGAGACCCAAAACTGTAATTTAGATAACATGCTGCTTTGCTTCTGTAAACTGATTTTTTGCAAACCAGGTTCCTCATTCCAAAGCCTGGATGTAATCAATACCTTTGTGATCTTTGCCTATATAAATCTGGTGTTGTGGCCATCTTATCACTATGAGATTTGGGAAATGGCCCCTCATAGTCCTGGATTGCAATAAATGTGACTCTTTAATTCGAAAAAAAAAAGTGTGTTTTTTTACTTTTTATGATGATGATGATGATGATGATGATGATTTCAGCTCAAAATAATCCTATGTCAAAAAGGCATATTTTGGGGCATATTCTGGTCTCCTACAGTCACATTTTGGGATGGCACATGCTGGTATCCAATAGCATCTAACATTAGAGAGATAGAAACATCAATAATGAGAGAGAATCATGGATTGGCTGCCTCCTGCCAACTGGGAATCGAGCCTGCAACTCAGGTATGTGAATGAATCAAACCATGACCTCCTGCTTTATAGGTCAACACTCAACCACTGAGCCACACCAGCCAGGCTTAAATATGTTTTTTATTGATTTCATTTTTTTTTCCTTCCCAGACATTTTATTTTTTTATTTTTTTGATTAGTTAAATCTTTATTGTTCAGATTATTACATTTGTTCCTCTTTTTTCCTCCCATACCTCCCCTCCACCCAGTTCCCATCCCACCCTCCTCCCTCACTCCCCACCCACTGTCCTCATCCATAGGTGCACAATTTTTTTCCAGTCTCTTCCCGAATCCTCCTCACTCCTTTCCCCTCCAAGAATAGTCAGTCCACTCCCTTTTTATGCCCCTGATTCTATTATAATCACCAGTTCATTCTGTTCATCAGATTATTCACTTGATTTTCAGATTCACTTGGTGATAGATGTGTATTTGTTGTTCATAATTTGAAATCTTTACCTTTTTCTTCTTCTTCCTCTTCTTAAAGGATACCTTTCAGCATTTCATATAATACTGGTTTATTGGTGATGAACTCCTTTAGCTTTTTCTTATCTGTGACACTCTTTACCTGACCTTCAATTCTGAATGATAGCTTTGCTGGATAAAGTAATCTTGGTTGTAGGTTCTTGGCATTCGTCACTTTGAATATTTCTTGCCACTCCCTTCTGGCCTGCAAAGTTTCTGTTGAGAAATCAGCTGACAGTTGTATGGGTACTCCCTTGTAGGTAACTGAGTTTCTTTCTCTTGCTGCTTTTAAGATTCTCTCTTTGTCTTTTGCTCTTGGCATTTTAATTATAATGTGTCTTGGTGTGGTCCTCTTTGGATTCCTTTTGTTTGGGGTTTTCTGTGCTTCCTGGACTTGTAAGTCTATTTCTTTCACCAGGTAGGGGAAGTTTTCTGTCATTATTTCTTCAAATAGGTTTTCAATATCTTGCTCTCTCTCATCTTCTGGCACCCCTATAATTCTGATGTTGGTAACCTTGAAGCTGTCCCAGAGGCTCCTTATACTATCTTCGTATTTCGGATTCTTTTTTCATTTTGCTTTTCCAGTTGGGTGTTTTTTGCTTCTTCACATTTCAAATCTTTGACTTGATTCTTGCGCTCCTATGGTCTGCTGTTTGGAGTCCGTATAATATTCTTTATTTCAGTCCGTGTATGCTTAATTTCCAGTTGGTCCTTTATCACAACCTCGAGGGTCTCATTAGATTTCTTGTAGGTCTCATTAAGTTTATTGGCAGTTTCTAGAAAATTCTTGAAAAACCTTAAAAGTGTGGTTTTGAACTCTATATCCAGTAGTTTGCTTTCCTCCATTTCTGTCATTTGTGTCCTTTTTCTTTGTCTCCGCATTTTTTATGCTTCCCTATGTTGATAAAGTGGTTTTCTGTGCTAAGTGTCCACTAGGACCCAGTGGTTCGGCCTCCCCAATTACCTAAGGAGGACACTCTTGGTGCACCCCCTTGTGGTCTTTGTGCACAGTCTTGTTGTAGTTAAGCCTTGATTGTTGTTGGTATCACTGGGAGGAATTGACCTCCAGGCCAATTGGCCGTGAGAATCAGCTGTGTCTGCAGTGGGAGAACTTCTGTGCTGGAGACACCCCTCCGGGACAAGACTTGCTTCAATGGGGCTTTGGTGCTCACTGAGTCTGCCCCCTGAGTGTGTCCTTTATGGTTCCACGGAGCTGCAAACTGGATGGTCCCACTCTGACCTCTGGGTACATTGGCTCCTGGATCTCTAGGGAGGTGCTAATCTAGCCTCTGCCTTAGGCTATCCAGCAAAAGCCTCTCTGAAGGGCTTGGGCGGGGCTGGTCCCACGGGATCAACAGGGCAGGGCTAGCAGTTATGGCTGCTCTCAGAGGCTCTGCTTCTCAATGTCCTGGTAATTGCTGCAAGCCCCTCTGAGAGAAAGCTGCCCTCGAGTTCTGACTGATGCCAGACAGTCCCGCTTCTCCCGTATGAGTCTGGGTCCCCAGAGACTCGCCCAGAACTGGAGCTCAGAGCCTGAGACTCCCTCCCGATTGAAAACAACAACCGTGCCCTCAGCCGCTAGCCCGCTCCGCACGCACCTCCGCACCTTAGTATTTGACTTCTGCACCACACCTCCTCTGAGTCTCGGTATGCTTTTCTTTTTCCTTCTAGTTGTAGAATTTTCACTCAGCCAGCCTTCCTGTGGTTCTGGATGATGTCCATTCTGTCTTTTAGTTGTATTTTTGAAGTGGTTGTGCGAGGCAGCAATCTCCGGTGTTTATCTATGCCGCCATCTTGGTTTTTGCCTTCCCAGACATTTTTATTGATTTTAGAGAAAGGAAGAAAGAGAGAGAGAGAGAGAGAGAGAGAGAGAGAGAGAGAGAGAGAATCTATGAGAAAAAGAAACATCAATTGGCTGCCTCCTGCAGGCCCCCTACTGTGGATAGAGCCCACAACCCAGGCATGTGCCCTGACAAGGAATTGAACTGTAACCTCCTGGTTCATGGATCAACACTCAACCACTGAGCCACACTGGCCAGATTCAAAGCAATTTCTTCTTGTGCATCTATTTCATGCCTACTCCTTTATAGGTGCTGAAGCCAGATCAATAAAGACAATAGACAAAAATCCCTCTTCTCTGGGGTTTATATTCTACTGTGGGAGAGAAAACATAGCAAGATCAATAATTAATTATGTACTGAGCTAAAATGGAAAAATAAAGCAGGGCAAAAGGAATCTAGCATGCAGGGAAGAAGGGGAGTGGTTATAATTTTAAACTGAGTAGCAGGGGAAACTACTGAGACAGTAATGTTTTAGCATAGACTGGAAGTTGATCCAAGAAAGAATCTTGAAGCTGTCTGGGTGAAGATGTTTCCAGACAGAAAATACAGCTAGTGCAAGGGGCCTGAATAGGAGGATGCCTGGAGTTTACAGGAATCGCTATGAGGCAGTGTGGCTGCAACAGAGCAAGACATGGGGGAAATCCTGGACATGAGGAGGTATATTTGTTCTGGGAGTTGCCAGCTTGTGTAAGGATTTGAGATGTAATTTTGCACAATGGGAAGCCATGCAGAATTTAGGTAGTAAAGATAACATGGTCTTGATTTTGTTTTAAACAACCTAAGCTAGAATTGTTCCCATTTTATAACTAAAAAAATGTGAAGTTCAGAGGGTGGGAGCTATTTATTCAAAATCACAAACCAAGTGGCCATCCTGAGATTAGAACCCACGACATCCTCACTCATGTTCTTAGCCAACCTGCCCACTGCCTCCCCAAAAGATACATGCAGCAGAGGCACCTCCCATTCTGGACAGCAACATTCCTGAGGGTGCCCAGCCAGCAGCAAGGGCCATATTCTGCCATCTATCTTTGGTAGTTTGTCTTTCCAGCCTAAAGAGAGCCAGTGCCCTTGTCCACCCTCCGTCTGCTGTGTAACATGAAAAGAAGAGAATCACTCAAGCACTATCAGCCCTGGCCCCCAACTCCAGAGGAACCTCTGTCCTGGAATGACAGCTCCTGCCCCTCATACACCCATGTGAAGGGAACTGCTCCAGCTCCAGCTTCAGCCACAGCCCCAGACTTTCGGTGGCACCTTTGTATCTTGTGATCCCAGGGACAGGCACGTATGACCCAAGGGCAGCCCATCCGTTGGCTAGGCTGTGACATATTACTATGACCCAGGAAAATTCCATAATCTGTTGGAACTAGAAAATTCTAAGAGATCTCTCTGTTTAGTGTCCCTGCTGCTCCCAGAAGCTAATACAGAAGCAGATGACCTTGTGGTGAGAGAGAGAAAAATGGAGCAAATGCTTGAGCGCAGCAGCTGTGCCGAGACGGTGCCGGTCTAGGCTGGAGCTGCCTCTGATCCTGGCTGTTTCTGAAAGTAATGCACGTGTAGTCCTGCAATAGCCCCTGCCTTTCCTGAGGTAACTTGAAAACTAACTAAACTAAGGTAAAGCAAGATCCAGCTCACTCCTGATGTTTTCAAAGTTTTTGCCTTTCGCCTAATGTTTGTGGCCATCTCTGCCTGCCTGCGCCCTCTTGGTGGCCCTCTGCTCTGTGATCGCCCCGGCTGGAGCCAAGGCCAATCCTCCTGACTCACGTGGGTGGAATTCTAGATGATGCCTCCCTTTTCTGGTCTGGAACATGATGCTCTAACCACGAGAAGCATTTAACCAAGACCCTCGTTTTTCTCCCAGGCATCTTACTCTTGTTCTTACTGTGACTGCTAACCTTGTCTGGAACTAGGGATCCTAAAACCATCCTAGCAAGTTAAAGCCACTCTCTAATATTCAATTCAATCCAGTAAACACTAAGTGAACGTCTATAATGTGCTCATATTAGGAACAACTATGCATAAGGCAGGTAAGATCTCTGGGAGCATCAGTCTACACCCCCCACCCCCGCCACTCCCAAATCAACAAACCTGTAGTCTTACTTTGGGCTTGGTCGTGCAGTCCTGTTGTATACAGAGTCTTGTTTTGAGGAACATAGAAAGGTAATGGTTCTCTTTCTTATACGCTTCAGAACGTGAAGTTGGCCATTTGCAGACCCAGCAGACCCTTGGAACAGAGTGGAGGAAAAGCGGATTAAAGCTAACGCATGTCTCCTTGTCTTGTGGACTGAATACTTCCATTAAGGTTTGAATGTCCTCCTTGTTCCTTGAAACGCTGGCGTCAGTCCAAGTCATTAGCTTTCTGATAGCCCGTCCCTTCCCCGAGCTATCTGATCCGGATCTGCACTTGATGACTCAAGTTGCAAGCATGCTTTGATGGACGTTGGGACTGAACAAACATGTAGAATATTAAATCTGAAAGTACATTGCCTGCACTGTTTTCTGTCCCAGATAAATGGGAAAGAAAAATTGAGTAAAATGATGATGTTCTGCCTTGCAATCTTTGGTGCTTTTTCTAGTCTGATTTTTTAAATTAACATAGAGTAAAATCGGCCTTTTCAGTATGTATAGTTCTATAAGTTTTAGCACCTGTATAAATTCATATAACCGCCACTAGGATTGAGATACAAAAGTTCTATCACCCCCAAAACTCACTCACTCAGGTTATCCCTTTGTCATCACACTCTCCCTCCAATTCTCATCTCTAAAAGGTCAGTAATCATTTATCTGTTTTCTATCCCTATGATTGTGTCCTTTAGTAGAATCATTTAGTATGTAACCTTTGAGACTGGCTCCTTCTACTCAGCTTAATGCCTCTAAGGTTCATCCAAGTTGTTGTATGATTCAGTCGTTGTTTCATTATATTGTTGAGTAGTAGTTCATTATTTAGATGTATCACAATTTATCTACTCACCAGCTAAATGACAGTTGGGTTGTTTCCAATTTTTTGTGATTATGGTTGGATCACTATATAAATAATTGTGTACAAAGGTTGTGTATTTTTTCAGAAACATATTTATTTCTCTGTGATAAATACCCAGGATCAGAATTGCAGGATCTGAGGAATGTAAACATGTTTGGCTTTATTAAACAGTTCCAAACATTTTCCAGAGTGCTTGTATCATTTTGCATTTCCACCAGCAAAATATGAGAATTCCAGTTGCTCTGCATCCTTGCCACCACTTGGCATTTCAGTAATTTTTATGTTAGTCATTCTAATAGATGTGTAATTGTGGTTTGCATTCGCATTTCCTTCATAGCTAATGATGCTGGCATCTTTTTATGGGCTTATTTGCCATCCATACATTCTCTTTGATGAAGTATCTAGTCAAGTCTTTTGCCAATTTAAAAAGTTGGATTCTTTTCTTTTAAAAAATTTTTAAATACATATTTTTATTGATTTCAGAGAGGAATGGAGAGACAGGTGAAAACATCAATGATGAGAGAGAATCATTGATCAGCTGCCTCAGCCCAAAACCCGGGCATGTGCCCTGACTGAGAATCAAACCGTGACCTTCTGGTTCATAGGTCGACACTCAACCATTGAGCCACACTGGCCGGACAGATTATTTTCTTATTGTTGATATCTGAAGGTTCTTTATATATTCTGGATAAAAGTTCTGTGCTGGAAATATGATCTGCAAATATTTTCTCTCAATTTGTAGCTTGTCTTATCATGCTCTTAATGTCTTTTGCAGAGCAAAAGTTTTTATTTTGAAGTCCAATTTATTTTTTTCTTTTACGAATCATGCTCTTGGTATCATGAGTTTTTCACTCTTTAGATTGTTAATATGGTGACTTGCATTGACTGATATTCAATACTGAACTGGAGTTGACTTCGCAGGATAAATTCCATTTGGCATGGTATATATTATTCTTTTTACATATATTAAATTTTATTTTGTTGAGGATTTTTACATTTATTTTCATGAGGAATATTGCTCTCTAGTTTTCTTTTCTTGTACTATCATTGGTTTTTGTGTCAGAGCAATGCAGGAAGTATTACTTCTTCTGTTTTCTGTAAGAGATTTTGTATAGTTGGTATTATTTCTTCTATAAATGTTTGGTAGAATTCACCAATGAAACCATCAGCACCTATAAATTTTCTTTTTTGAATGTTTTAAGCTAGAAATTAGTTCTTTAATAGTTATAGGACTACTTAGGTGATTTAGTTTTTCTTGGGCTTGTGTTGGTAGTTTTATTTATTTTTCTATGAATTGGTCCACTTTTATAATTATTTGTATATGTAGATTTGCTCATAGTATTCCTTTGTTATCCTTTTAATGTCTTCAGATTCTATAGTGATAACTTTGATAATAATGTCTTTTTTTCAGCTTGCTAGAGGTGTGTGTGTATATATATATATGTGTGTGTATCTTATTTTAAAGAACTAGGTTTGGATTTCATTGACTTTTCAATTGTTTTTCTGTTTTCAAATTTTATTGATATGTACTCTTACCTTTATTATTTATTTTCCTTCTGATTGCTTTAGGTTTATTTTTCTCTTCTCTAGTTTCATGAATTGGAAACTTAGATGGTTGATATGAAACCATTTTTTCCTAACATAAGGGTTTAGTGCTATAAATTTCCCTCTAACCACTGCTTTGCTGAATCTCATATATTTAAATGCATGTACTTTTTGAAATTTGCTTAGAATCAATAATTTACTGCTTAAAGTAGAATAGAGAAACCTGTCCACCACATGGAACACTTTTCCTCCCTGTTTAGTGTTGTAGTTGTCTTATGTACATTGAAAACATCAGCAAAAAATGTTATAATTTTTACTTTCAACCATTAAGCATGTTTTAAAAGTGTTCAATAAAAGAAGAATAGCATATTTTAAAAGATATTTCTTGTGTCTGTTGCTTTTCCTTTATTACTGATGTTATATGTTTCCTTTGGTATCATTTCACTTGTCTGAAGAAATCCGCTTAGCAGTTGTCTCCCCTCCTCTCTTAATTCCTGAAGAATATTTTCACTGGTTATAGAATTATGAATTGACAATTCTTTTCCTTCTGTGCTTTAAAATATTGTTTCATTTTCTTTTCCATGATTTCTGGTGAGAAATCTGTATTCATTCAAATCATTGTTTCCCTGTAAGTAAGGTATTATTTTTCTCTGATTTCTTTCAATATTTTTTATTGTCTTTAGTTTCTAACAGTTTGATTATAATGTATCTAGGAGTGGATTTATTGGATATTATCTTTCTTTGGAGAGAGGCTGCTGTAAGTTTATTTCACTTGTCAAATTTGGGAAGTTTTTAGCTGCTTCTTCTTCTAATATTTTTTTCTGCATCACACTCTTCTTACTCTCCTTCTGAGACTTTGAGGTTTCAAATGTTAAACTTTTTACATTTTTTCTTTGTTATTCAAAATGGATAATTTCTACTAAATTATCTTTAAGTTCACTTTTTTCTGTTAACCTCTTTTGCTGTTGAGACTATCCACTGAGTTTTTATTTTTAAGTTGTTATATTTTTCAGTTCAGACCTTTCAAATGATTCTTTATATATTCTATTTCTTGGCTGAAGTCATCTATCATCCCATTATACGAGTTAAATTCTTTACTTGGTGGAGCATGTTTACAATAGCTTCACTAAGCCTTTGTCTGATCATTCCAACATGTATGTCATCTTGGTGTTGGCATCTCTTGATTGTCTTTTCCTAAATGAGTTGTGGTCTTCCTGGTTCTTTATATGCTTCATACCTTCAGAGTACATTCCAGACATTTTGAAACTGTGATGAGTGAACACAAGAGACAGACAAGTGTGATGAGAGAACACAGAGACAGACAGAGCCGCCGCCACATACCTCATCCCCTGGGGACCACAGAACCCCAAGCGGAGAGCAATGTTCCCCTTCCTCAGAGTTTTTGCCCCTGCACGCTCTTGTTATTGCCACCACTGAGTACTCCTTGGGGCTAAAAGTGAATGAGAGAATTAAGAAAAGAAAAAAATAATTAGAATAATGGTTTTCTCTAGTCCAAGCATGTCAAACTCGTGGCGGGCGGGCCACATGCCTCATTTAAATAAATGAGTTTGACATGCTTGCTCTAGTCTCACCAGTGTTAGGAATTCTCTTTCCCATTTTTTTGAGTGAGAATTCAAGAAATTCTCCTGCAGTTCTCTTCACCTGTGCCTCAGTACCCACTCTGGGTTTCAGGCAGCTTCGAGTTCATGTTGGTCATCTCCAATCTACCTGCTACCATTTACTTTTCAAGTCCGCAGATGCTCCACAAATTCTATCCAGGTTTTAGAGCTGCAATTTAGGGGAAGGGGAAGGGTGGAATTAATGTGCTTTCTCTATTGTATCTACAATTGCACCTCTTCAATATTTTAAAAATTCCTTCAAGAGGCAACAAAATGATAGATGAAGTTCCATTTTCTAAATTTCCTGCCTAACTGAATGTTTTCAGACCTATTAATGCCAGGAAGAGGGAAGATGTAAGTGTGGGTGGGTGAGGTGGGACTATCATGTAGTCATGTGAAACATTTTAAAGCCAAAAAAAGAAAAGAAAGTCTTTCAAGCTTTACTTTTACAGGCTTATGTTTTACCCAGTGCCATCTGTGGGAAAGGAAATAAGAAGTGAAAGGCAAGAATTAAAATAAGTTTTGGAATCAGTAAAGGGCTAAAGAAAGTTTTGCTGGGCAAGTTAGTATGGATTTGGGAAAGAAGGAAATGCATTATACTTACTGAGGTTGTTTTGTCCCATCTCCAAGCCAGGGCTTGCCAGGAATTTTCCTTTTTCCATTTACCCTGCTCATAAGCCCACCACAAAGAGCACGTCTTGGGTTTGCCTAGGCCTACGCTTGAGACAGAAATAAAACCCTTTTATCTCCTAGCAGGGGACTGAGCTGTGAGACTCTGAAAGCTTTTCTTATTGCTTATCTTCTTATTTTTTTGTTCCTTTATAATGTTGTATACCCATAATATCATTACCTTTCCCCATACAAATAGCCGTTTTTGGCTCTCATGCTCATAATCCATGGAGTTAGGTCACAATAAAGATCAACCTCTACACAATGTGCCATTCTGTTAGCTGGTTTCAGTCTGAATGTATTAATTCTGGGGTGTGTGTGTGTGTGTGTGTGTGTGTGTGTGTACTTTGGGGACTTTTCAAAGTCAGCGTTTAACCAAGGATATAAGATCTTGAATTGGGAGTCTTCTGACAAGGGAGTGAGGGCTTCTCTCCAGACCCTTTCCTACAAGTGTCTATTAAATAAACTCCCGTTCTATAACTGGTTTGCTCAGAAATCCCATATCCGCTACACTTCAAGGGCCAAGGTTGAGGAAAGGATTGCTGGTTACGGTTTAGAAGACAAAATACAGACTATTCATCCCAGATGAGAAGCTAAATTTACTTTGAAAATCCGCTCTGTTTGCCGGGAGATGACTCTCACTGAAAACACCCTGGAATCTCTGCTAAAATGAGGGTTGTTTTTACGCAGAGCTCTGTCCTCTCTCAGGAGCCTAGCAAGAAACAGGATTTAGAGCTTTAGCAAGTGAACTGTCAGTCTTGCAGAGCAGCCTGACTCAGAGCAATCAAACTGCGGGCTTTTTGTGGACTGGGGACCACGTGTTTGTACTTTGACTCATGCTGAGCATAGGTCCTTTCACAAGGTGGGTAACAAATATAATTATTTAATTCGGTGGTATCTCGACCATATCTGAGAGAGCAGATTTATTCATTGACCTTTAATGAGTTGCCTGCAATGGGTGAGGCTGTGTTCTAGATCTATATAATGAAGATAAAGAATGAAAGGTTCCCTGTTCTAAAGACACTGTTTTAGTAGGAAAGGCAGAAGGTAGCCAACTGTATTAGTTAACTCAGACTGCCATAACAAAATACCACACTGGGTTGCTTACACAATAGAAATTTATTTCTTAAAGTTCTAGAGGTAGAGAAGTGTAAGGTCAAGGCGTTGGCTTATTTGGTTTCTTGGAGTATGCTCGCATGGGAGAGAGAGAGAGAGAGAGAGAGAGAGAGAGAGAGAGAGAGAGAGAGAGAGAACTGGCTCTCTGGTGTCTGTTCTTACAAGGACACTAATCCTATTGGACCAGGACTCCATCCACCCTTCTGACCTCATTTAGCCATAATTGCTTCCTCACTCTAAGTATAAAGGCTTCAACATGCAAATTTTAGGTGGGGTACATTAAGTCCATAGAACCAACCCAACAAATATGATAATATAACAGCAGGTATGGTCAGGGGTATAAGGAGAAAGATAAGTGGGAGACTAGTGCAATTTGAGGCCGAAGGATGGTAATTGGCTTCTCTGAAGAGGTGACTTTAAGCAGAGGTATTAGTGAAGGGAGGAAACCAGCAGTTCTCAACCTGTGGGTCACGAACAATGAAAATACATCCTGCATATCAGATATTTACATTATGATTCATAACAGTAGCAAAATTACAGTTATGAAGTAGCAACAAAAATAATTTTATGGTTGGGGGTCACCACAACATGAGGAACTGTATTAAAGGGTCGCAGCATTAGGAAGGTTGAGAACCACTGACTGTTCAAAGGGGAAATGGTCCAGACTGAGGGACCAGCAAGACAGAAGCTCTGGGGCAGAAGAATGTTTGATTACAGCAGAATAGGTGTTTAAGGACCACAAAGAATTGATTGAGATAGAGTTTATCAGGGTGGAAGAATATATGCTTTGGGGGAAGGGGGGGAAGTTGCCTACAAGCTTCCAGCTTAATCTCAAGTAGGAACTACTTGACCCATCTTCCCCCTGATATGCCTGGTGGCTATAAACGAGAGAAAGTCTAAATGTACTTATAATACCAAGTCTCTCTAATAAGGGCTCAAGCCTCAGGAGATTGTGGGCTATCCCCAGAGCCCTGAAATAATTCATTCAACAATTTGCAATAATTAGGAAGCTCTTCCTGTGTGCCAGGTACTCATGATCATGGCTTGGCAGAGAAACTGGAAAATGTCCTTGGACTTAATTTTCCTGGGAGGTTATTATTACAATGGTAAGTAGTGTTCAGTCAACTAGCCCTATTGCAAGCTGGGAATACCCTAGGACAGAACGGGCTGTCCCTTCTTTCTCCCTGGCTGGGTCCTTCTTACCACTATTTTATGCTCTCTTCTTGGTTATCTCACTCAGTCTTACAAATATAACTGTTGCACTTGCTTCCACACATTTATCCTGGACTCCAAACTCATCCATACTTAACTGGCCACTTGACCTCTCCCTTAGGATGTCTAATGGGCATCTCAAACCTAATGTGCACCGCACTGACCTTCTGCTCTTCCTCCCTAATCCTGCTCTGTGCACAGCCTTCCTCATCTGAATGGGTGACAGCTTCACCCTTGTTCAGGCTTCAAACCTCAAAGTCACGCTGCGCCCCTCTTTTTACTTGAATGTCATATTCAATTCATTCTTAAATTGTGTAAAATATGTTTTTATTGATTTCAGAGACAGAGGAAAGGAGGAGGATAAAGAGATAGAAACATCAATGAAAGGGAAACATAGGTCCGCTGCCTCCTACAAACCCACTACTGGGGATCGAGCCCGCAACCCAGGTGTGTGCCCTGACTGGGAATCAAACCATGACCTCTTGGCTCATGGGTCGATGTTCAACTACTGAGTCACACCAGCCGGGCATATTCAAATTTCTATCTTCAAGATATAGCCAAACCTGGGCATGTCTACTGCTGCCAGCCTGCTCCCAGACACCATCACTTTTCATCTGGATTAATGCAGTAACCTCTTGATCGGCCTCCCTGCTATCACTCTTCCTCCTCAATGATCTGTGCTCAAAATTGCAGACAGATATTTTCAAAATGTAAGTCAGCTGATGTCATTCCCTTACTCAGGTTCCTGCAATGGTGCTCCATTTCATTGAAAGTAAACACCAAAATCTTGCAACAGTTACAATTATCTTTGCCCTCATTAACTTCCTGCCCTCATATCAGCTCCTTTTCCTTTTGCTCACCTCATTCTAATCACACTGGCTTCTTTGCCTTGGTTTTGTCAGGTCCTCTTCTGCCTCCCAGTTCCCTCTGCCGGATTCTCCTCCCCCAGCTATACGCATGGCTAATAGCTTCTCCTTCAAAGCTTTATGAAGGTATCACCCTCTCAGGGATGCCTGCCTGAACATGCTATTTAAAATTGCAAGCTGGCCCCCACAGCACTTCCTATCTCCCTTACCCCGCTCCATTTTTGTGAGTAGATCTTATCACCTTCTAACATATCATGCAATTTACCTATTGTTTGTTGTTAATTGGGTGGCTGTCTCACTGGGCATCAGTTCCACAACGACAGGAGTTCTGCCTGTTTTGCTCACTCATGCAAGCAAACAGGTGCCTAGACTAGTATGCTCAATAAGTATTTGCCTTGTGTGGACATGTAGATATGTTCCCCTCCCCACAAGGCTATAGTTTATATCTAATGCAATTCCTTGCACCTAGGCCTTGAATAAACTATTTTGATGAGCTGACTGTTTAGCAGGAAAAATGCATTAATTGTGTAGCATTTCACAAAATGTTCTAATTTAGTTTCAAGTTCATGGAAACTTTAGCAAGAATTTTATCATTATATAAAATGTACTGAATTTTTTCTTCTCATTGAAGTATAATAGACATAGGTATAGAATAGTACATTTATTAGAAGTGTACAGCTTGTTGTTTCCCATGTAACTGATACCCAGAGGAGGAAATTCAACATTAGCAGCTGTTAGATGTCCCTTTGAGCGTCCCTTCCTGACTTCTAGGATCAACGGTTAGTTTAAACACATTTTATTTTAAAGACTCCATCATGGGGCCTGCCCAGCGTGGCTCAGTTGTTGAGCATCAACCTATGAACCAGGAGGTTACGGTTCGATTCCCGGTCAGGGCACATGCCCAGGTTGTGGGCTCAATTCCCAGTATGGGGCATACAGGAGGCAGCCTACAATGATTCTCTGTTATCATTGATATTTCTATCTCTTTCTTCCTCTCCATTCCTCTCTGAAATCAATAAAAACATATATATTTTTAAAGACTCCATCTTGGGATTTCAACAGTTTCAACAATGCTTGTATAAAACTGATTTTATAGAATTGATCTGATTTTACCCCTCACTGACAAAGAAAGCATAGAACTTGTTTTTAAAAGTACACACATGAGGAATTTATCAAAATTGTACATATCAAGATAGACTGTCTGGCAAAAGTCAATTAAGCAGAGATATCGGATGTATTTTTCTTTACCTCACATACATTTAAGGAGAACTATGAAATATGTTGTCAGAAATATATGTAGAATGCTGAGATATTCCTTTATTGCCTTACTGACTTGTGATATGGATGCTGTTATATCTATAAGGATTTTTCTCACATAAAGTAAGAGGAAACTTGCAGAAGAATCATTCTATTTAAACTGAAGGCTATAGAACTTGCACATATGTGGGTGAACTGCTACTTGTTATCCCCTCACAACCCCAGTTCTATTCTCATCACTTCTCTTCCCTGCAAAAGCAGATGACTCAGACTTTCTATTACTTCCCACCTTTCCCTCAAACTGGACCTCGGGCCTTATGGGGAATTCCCTGCGAGCAATTGATGAGAAGACGGGGGGCTGCTGGCCGGTTTAAGTAAGTGTTTGTATTGGGTGGCTCTGTAAGTCGGGGGGGGGGGGCTCTCCCAGGGAATAGAACTTTGGGCACTACATCTGGTTGGCCACTTAGCATGAAAGAAGAGAGAACCTGAATTTTCCTGGAATGTGCTGATTCATGGATGGTAGCTAATGAATTAGTCAACTGATCAGGGACTTGGTAAGTTTTAAACGTGATTGGAAGATTGGTGCCAAGATCCCCGGAAGGGAAATTGTGTGATGGACCTATGAGAATTGCTCCAGGATTAGAAGCTATTTGAACCTCAGGTAAATGGCCCCAGAGTACACTCGCTGTGTGGAAAGGCAACTAAGAGGTGGCCAAGACGGCCTGTGCTTTGGTTGTCAGTGAGCCTCCTTCCCTGCCCATCTCTGTGCTTGCACAGATGGCCCATACACCAAGAGCTATGGGGACAGAAATAGAGGTAATATACGAGCACTTCTTGTCACCGTGTTTGATCTGGTCACTGCTGTGAGTGCTCAACTTTCTAAAACAGAAGCCAACACTGAGCCCTTATGCAGCTGTTTCCTGGGGGCACCAGCCGTCCAGGTTGATCATCTTGGACCACTTACTATGGGAGGGGCAGTAACTTGCCTTCATAAGGATAGCTGCATATCCTGGAGCGTGATTTTCCTTTCTTACCCATGAAGCTTCTGCTAGCACTACTATTTGTGGTCAATGGATTGCCGTAGTCACCTCCATGGTATCACAAACATCATTATCATGGACTAAGGCACTCATTAACAGTTAAACAACTGTGGTTTGGGGGCTCATATCATAGAATTCATTATTCTTACGTCACCCAGAACCTCTTGGTTTGATGAAACGATGGAATGGCCTATTGAAGGCTCCATTTTGGAGCCAGCACAGAGACAATGTCTTATGAGGTTGGGGTGCTGGTCTTCACGTGGTCAGATCAGTGATCAATACAGGGTACTGAAGACATGGATGACTTCAGGAATACAAGCATGGAGGGAGAAATGGCTTACCTCACTTTTACACTTGATAACTCACTTTAAGAGTATCTCCTCCATGTCCCGGAAACATTGTATCTAGTGAATGGATCCTCCTGTCAAAGAGAGAGGAATATTTTCACCAGGAAACACTGAGAACGTCCCCTGGCCATTTTGATTGTTCGTGCCACTCATCAAGGACAGAGAATTGGGTGCCAGCAGGAGCCAGTGTGATTGATTCCACGTTCAAGGAGCAATTGGGACTGTTGCTACAACACTATGTCTGGAGCCCATGGGATTTATTACACTCCCGTGTCCAATAGCAACAACAGTCAGTGGGAAACAGCAGCAACTCAGTTAGGACAGAGCTGCTCAGCACCGGGGTCTGGTGGGGATGAGCTTTTGGTGAGAGCGTCTCCACTGCAGGGTGCTAGTGGGGAGTAGGGAATCATGGAATGAGTGGTGCGAGAAGGAAGTCAGATTACCGGATTAGATTTGCTCAGATGTGGGACTGTGTCCGCTACATTTTACTGTAACTTTCTTTTTCTTTCTTTCCTTGCTGGGTTGCAGCCTGGTGGTGGCAGCCATGACAGTGTGGCTTCCAGGAAGGCGTATGAGAGCTCTGTCACCCCTCCATGATGAGGCTGATTCCCAGTGTCGGGACCTGAGTTCTTCAGCTGAGTCAAGTGGGAGGGTGGCCTGGGCTGGCTATTCTAAGATCTCTACTCTGCCTTTTCTTGCCGCGCTCTGTGGCCTGGGGGGCTTACCGCTACCAAAGCTGTCGTTTCACTAAACCTGTCATTTCACTGCTTCTGCTTGCCATTTGGCAAGAGGCCAGAATGCAGGAGGCGGGTCTGGGCTCTGTCCTTTCTCCTCCCTCTTCCCAGCAGAGGCCCCAGCTCTGCTCTTTCCCAACTCCAGCTCCTTCCAGACTAGGACAGCACTCCCTCTCCTGGGCCCTTGGCCTCCCTCGGTGAGTGAGGGCTGATCCCTGGGCGTCTCCCAGACCTTGCTGGTTCGGGTACCCCTGCCCACGCCTCTGTAAATAATCCCTGCCTGGGATGCTTTTCAGTGAAACCCCTTTCAGGCTGCCCTCTGCTTCCTGCGCAGGCTTCCGTGGACAGAGCAGGAGAAATGCTGAGAAAGGAGAGAGGCTAGAAGGCTGGCCTGTGACAACAGAATACGATGCATTTTCACAGGCTGACAGTGGCCAAGATCAAAACAATAATCTCCACTGCTCGGAGTCTATGGTTTACTTAGTCATTTATTCTTTCTGAAAAGGTGTTGTCAGGTAGAAAACACTTGTGGCGCTAATTGGGTTGTGCTTCAGACGGAGGGCTTTCCTGGGATGCAGGGTTTCGGTGCTAACGGTTACCTCAATCGGTGACTATCATCAGGACCTACAAGTCCTGCCCAGATGCCCTGCTGATGTGAACTTCCCTGGCAAAAGAACACTGTTCTAGTGCGGCTCCCTCAGTCCTCCGTCAGTGGCAGACGTCATGTATCCCTCATTCTTTCTCAGTAATTCTACATGCAGTCTGCGGGTCTCTCTGAGTACAGTGGTTCAGGCAGCCAGAATGACTGATCACAAGGCCAGGCAAGAGCCTGTCAGTCCTCTCGGAATGAGAGCTTTGACCCTAAATGCAAAAGCTGAAGTAGGCCAAACAGAGCCTCCTTGTAACCTTGGGCTTTGCCAACCTAGCAGGCAGTAACGGCCGTTTCGGCTCCTTTGCACTTGGCCAGGACCCGGATCTTGTCCCCCTCTGTGTCTCTTCATCACGGTGCAAGCTTCAAAGGCTGAGTGTGTGTTATGACAGTAGCGGCTCATATGTTATCAACATGCCTGTCATTGCTCTAAGTGCTTTATATTTATTTATTCCCTGTATTTTAGGGATGAAGGAAACAGTTACATGACGTAAGGGACTGGCCCTGGGTCACACAGGTAGCATGTGTAGACTGGGCCTCAAATCCACTCAGTCAGGCTCTGAAACCTCTCAGGGGCTGTGTTGGTAGCGTCATTCCCCTGGTTCACCCGGGGATTCCTGGCATCTGGCTCAGAGTTTGCCAGGTGGCCAGGACTTGATCACTAAATATGTGCTTAACATTTTTAAATGAAGATAAAGCCTAGCATAGAGAGTTCACTCTCTTCTCAGGTCTCTTTTTTCCTAGAAACTGCATTTCCTTTTCTTTTTAAAAAAAATCCTTACGTGAGGATATGCCTTTTTAATTCATTTTTAGAGAGAAAGAAGGGGGGAGGGAGAGAGGGAGAGGGGGAGAGAGAGAGAGAGAGAGGCATCAATGTGAGAGAGAAACACCGATCAGTTTCCTGCCTTACGTGCCCGGACCAGGGATCAAACCCACAGCCATTTGGGGCACAGGCCAATGCTCCCACCAGCGGAGCCGCCGGGCCAGGACCCTGCCCTGATTCTGTCGGGCCTCCTAAGCAAAGGCAACCTTTGACCCCGTTGACCATACCAGGGAGAAAAAAAAGAGCAGAGAGTGGTCTAGTGTGATATGGGCTCAAATCGAGGCTCTATCAGTCCTAATCTATAAACTGGGAATTGCAATGGCATTTACCTCCAAAAGCTGTACTAAATGAGAATCAATAACTTCGCAGACAGCAATGCTTAGTGTTAGCTTTGATTATATTAAATGCTAGTGTTCTGAATCGATGCAAATGGAGTAAATCTAAGTAAAAAGGGGTCATTTCTCATTGCGGGAACCATCCCTTTCATCTCCTGGCCCCATCCCCTCGCGGAGGGCTCTTTCCTTGGTCGGTGTGGTCCTTAGCCTCTGAACACGTTCTCCTCGAGTGAAAGCAGAGAAGGAGAGAAAGCCTCGAGCGCTCTCTAGAGGCCAGAAACTTCAATGACGTCTCAGGACCACGGGCCGCTTTCTGTTCTTTTCCGCCCGTTCCTTCCGCTGTTGGTCCCTCCTCTGTGCTGGGTGTTTTCTGTGTGTCCCTGGACCTGTCTCCACTCCCTTGCACTCTGCTCTGGGCCTGAGCCCGCTGACCGTGTAGACTGCACTCGGGAGCTCCCTGCCCTCTGACCTCCCGTTTATTTTAAATAGTGGATGTCACCAGCCTTGGGGGTGGGAGGTGGACGGTGCATTTGTAGGTCAGTTTCCTTCCTTCCCCTGTTGGGTTTATGGCACCTCTTTGGGCTCTCAGGTTGCGACCTGCTCTCCCTCTGTCCCATGCAGCGCACATCTGCATGGACATTCCCGCACCTCCCCGCTGTCTTCGTGGGAAGCACTCTGCTCCGGGCAGTCTGGTTTCTGCTCTCTCGGCCCTCAGAGCAGCCGGCCACCCACAGGCCCTTGATTTCATAGGCGTGCGCCACCTCACAGTCACTGTGCTCAGCGAACGCCCAGGCGTGCGTGTCTGAAAGACAGTCTCATCTCTCAGCAGGCCCGAGGGGAGGCGACACAGCCCCGGGCGCGGGCGCGGGAGGAGGCCTGACGCACAAACACACCAATGGAGAGTTTACATTCTGGTGAGAGCTACGTGGTTATTTGTGTTTGTTTAAAGAAACAAAATTATTTTATTTTTAAGTATAAAAGGCAGTGGCTTTTAGTATATTCTTCAAGTTATGAAACTATCACCGTTATTTAATACCAGGCCATTTTCATCAGCCCCCAAAAGAGACCCCTTTCCCATTAGTAGTCACTCTTCATCCCTCTCCCATCCCCCTCCCCCCCAACTCCCTGGCAACCCCTAATCTACTTTCTGTCTATAGGTTTGTCTATTCTGAACGTTTAGTATGAATGGAATAGTGTCTGGCTTCTCTCACTTTGCATAATGTTTTCAAGTTTCATCCACGTTGTAGCATGAATCAGTACTTCATTCTTTTTTGTTACCAGGTAATATTTCATTGTATAAATGTACCGCATTTCATTTACCCATTCATTAGTTGATGGACATTTGGGTTGTTTGTGCTTTTGGCTATTGTAGTGCTGCTATGAACATTTGTGCTCAAGTTTCTGTGTGGCCATATCTGTTTACTTATCATGGGTACATGATAACTGAGTGGGATTTCTGGGTGATAGGATAACCCTATGTTTAACTTTTTGAGGAGAATCCACCTCTAGGTATAAAATAGCTGCATCAGTTTACATTGTCACCATCCACTTATGAGAGTTTCAATTTCTCCACATTCTCACCAACATTTGTTATTAGCCATCTTTTTTGGTCCATCCAGCTTTGTTGAGATGTAATTGGCATGTTATACTGTGTACTGGTATATGGTGTACATTGTGATGATTGATACATGGATATATTGCAAAATGTTTACCACAATAAGGTTCACACATCCTTTTTCTTACATAATTACCATCTTGCTGTGGTGGTGGTGAGAACATGGAAGTGTTATTCTCACAGAAACTTTCAAGTATACAGTATAGTATTGTAAATTATAGTCACCATGCTGTACATCAGATCTCCAGAACTTATCACTGAAAGTTTGTACCCTCTGACCAACATCTCCCCTTTTCTCCCACCCCTCAGCTCCTGAAAAATGTCATTCTATACCTCTCTCTAGCTACTTTTTATTTAATCTGACAATTGACATAGAATGGCTCGTTGATAGCATAAGCAACACACCTAGGAACTTTTTATAAATGCCTACTGAAACAGAAACTTGGGGTGCACCCAGTTGTTTCCACTTTAACAAGCCCTTCAGGTTTGTCTAATGCCCACTAAAATTTGAAAACCATTGTCCTGGCCAGGCGGCTCAGTTGGCTGGAGCATCGTCCCCTACACAAGAAGGTTGTGGGTTCCTGGTAAGAGCACACACCCTGGTTTCAGGTTCAATTTGGGGCATGTATGGGGCAGCCAATCGATGTTTCTCTCTCACATTGATATTTTTCTCTCTCTCTTTTCCCCTCTCTCTAAAATCAATTTTTAAAAATATCCTCTGGTGAGGATTGGGAAAAAAAGCATTTGAAAACCATTGATCAAGTCTAATCTGACCATTTTACTTTATGTTTCAATCTTTTTAAAGGCTTTTATTTTTTTGTTCCTTTTCCCCCCTTTTTATTGAATTTATTGGGGTGACACTGGTTCACAAAATTATACAGGATCAGGTACACAATTCTACAACACATCATCTGTACA